GCCCAATTTATAAAATTGGGCCTTGAGTGGGCCATAATTGGGCCTTGATTATTATGAGATATTAGACCATCGGAATGCCAAGTGTTTGGACTAGAATAAATGGTTGGGCCTTAAAGTAAGGCCATATGTTAGGACTTGGTTCGTTGATTCATTTTGGGCCTTTAGAGTGTGTGCTTGGGCCTTGCGCTTGGATCCAACTAGGTTAGCGGTAAAGTAGTCTTGTACCCAAAGCAAAGAGTTATGGATGTGTAATGGAACCCAATTATTAATTGGATGTTGTTATGATGTTGACAGTTCGAGAATTTGTCATCCAACAACTAGAGTTTTGTCCGCAGGACTTCAGCAATGTGAGGTGAGTTACCTTCGTGTATGAGTGGGTCGAAGGCACCAATTCCGGCCCACTAATAATTGTTTATAGTAGAGATGATTGTCTTTGTGATAATTTTCTGGTATGCCAATATATGTTATGCTTTACGTGATAGTATGATATGATATTATGTGATAGTGGTAAGAGGGGTGGATTAGACTCCGTAACCGATTGAGCTAAACTAGAGGGTGGGTCGGGTACCCAGATATGCCTGACAGTATGTTATGCTATGTTATTATGTGGTAGTGTTAGGGGTGAAATAGTCCCCGTAACCGGTTAAAATAAACTGGAGGGTAGGTCGGGCACCCAGATATGCGTGACAGGGTAGGTTAAGAACCTAGATATTCTTGACAGGGTAGGTCCGGCACCCAGATATGCCTGACAGGGTAGGTCGGGCACCCCGGTATTCCTGACATGGGTATGTTGAGCACCCATATATATGCATGTCAGTATGTTTATTGTATGGTATATGGTATGATGGGTGAACTCACTAAGCTTCGTGCTTACGGTTTACTGTTTTGGTTTCAAGTACTTCTTCTTCGAAAGTAAAGAAGTCGGCATGATCGCATCGCATCACACCATGATTTCAACACATGAGATCCTTAGGAGTTATACTCTGATGATGTTTTATTATGACATGTTTTGATTATTGACATATTGGTTTTGATATGGAATGAAACTATGAATGTTTTCAGACGAATGGTCTCATAATTACTTAATTAAAAATGAAAATTTTAGTCTTGAATTTTGGGATGTTACATTCATCGTTTCATCCTTATCTCTTGATATATCTTTAGTACTTCTAACTTTTATTTTAGTTTATTAAGTTTAGCTATGCTAGGCTAAAATTTGTTTGGTTGATTTTAGTGAAATACATGGATACTTATTTGTTTCAGGATTATTATGAATTTGTGGTGATTTTTATGAAAGTATTTTGCATATGAACATCTTGCCATCTTTATATCTTTATTAATGAGTTTGGATATACGTTTGGTGAATAATTGACTAATTTATTGATGAGTAACGAATTCTGAAATTTGTAAGCAATGAATGGTCCTTCTGTTGATTTACACTTCGCACAATCATAAAAATATTTTCTCTAATACGCCAGTGAAAGCATTTTACTTACTTGGATTTGGTGACTTTTTAATTATTAATGGTAGTTAACTTTTACTAATTACATGCTTAATGGAAATTGAGACTTTAACTAAGAAAATGAGTTATCAGCTCTTCTAGCAATTTTATTAACTAAGAAATATCTTGGTTAAAGTAAAATTAAATTGAACCGTAAGCCTTGCACCGTAATGTCTACTGATAATTAACTAACTGTTAATGTGATGAAAGTTAAAGTCAACCATATTTCTCTCATTGATGTACATCAAAGTTTTGTGTTTGGTGAATTATAATTTCAAAGTCGTAGTTTAATTTTTTGTTTCTTTAAACAACTCAAAAGATTAAAACCCCGATTTTTATTTTTATTTTCATTTTCATTTCACAAGTATTTGTACAATAAGATTTTGATAGTTATTAATTGAAGCAATCTTCATGGATACGGACCATTTATCACTATGCACTATTTTATTATGTAATATTTATGATATTTATTTTGCTGGCCTCAACAACCACTAATATTAATTAAGGAATTACCTATGTGATCCTGAAGTGTGGTTGCATTTCAAAAAGTCGGGAATTGGGTTTTTGTAATCATGAATGGATAAGGATACCATGCTTACTAAATCTGTCAACAGATTGATAACTATATTAGATATGATGCTTTTGAGTATTTTATCTTAAAGTATTCAAATGAGTTGATAAGTTCTATTGATCAGGACACCTCAATTCTCATATATTAGGAATGTTAAAGTGGAAATTCAATCGATTTAACATTTTCATTTATGCGTAAGTTTGATTTGTTTATTTTGTCTATACAAAGTTAAGAATTACACTATATCGGGGCGAACGTTTGTGATCTTAGATCACTTGTCATTTAATTATAATTTGACTTTATTCAATTTTTAGAGGGGATCAAAGTTATGATCTTAAAAAAATGGCAAGTGGTCAGTTAAGTGTAATTTGATTTTATACAAGTTTTAGAGAGAATCAAAGCTATGCTATAAAAAAAGCCAAATGTTGTGAAGTCTACACTTGTATAATGCGAGTTTGATCCTCTATTAGATGAAAAATTAAGGTCTAGAGGTAGCAATTTAGAATGCAAACAAAAAAAAGTTCGAAAGTGGTGAGTTAGTTATACAATTTGGATTTTAGACTAAGGAAAAAATATGTGGTATAGCGAACACCACCGAAGTTGTGGTGCCGGTGGTGCGAAGTTATGGTGCCCATGTGTAGACCAACATAGTTGTTAAGACAAGGACCTAGGGAGTCGGTGAGTTACAGACAGGGGCGCACCTTTTCTGGGGCCAGGAGGGGTTGTGCCCCCCCCCCCTCCTGAATTTTGGGCTAGAAGTGAGTATATATGTGTAATTTTTGGAATTATAGGCCCAACAATGTGACATTTAGGCTGTGGCCCCTCCTGAGTCCTGATTAATGATCCAATGTTTGTTTAATTGTTTGCCAAGAAGCAATCCACGAGAGAGACCATCGATCGTTCAGTAAAGCTTCCACCTCCTATTCCCCCCACCCCCAATCTCCCAGGCCCCGTCCTCAATCTTCGTGCAATCGTGACTCCGCCAAATCGAAGCCAGTCGTTGACACTCGCTTGCTCGTCGTTGCTGGGTGCTGGCTGTTGCGGACTTGCGGTGCTGCTACAGTGCTACCTGCTGCTGACGGATGACCTGCTGTTCTTCAATCTGCACGATTGAATAGCTACAATTCTGCTGCAATCCCCAATTCCCTTCCTCGGGCATGCTTTCAACTTTGAGTTTTCAAGTTTCAGTTCGGCTGTTGACCTGCTGTTCAGCCTATTCTTGACTTCTTTCCTGTTGCAATTGTTTAGTTGTTGGATACTAATTGTTATTAGAAAGTTGGAATTTTTCTAACGTCAGATCCTGTTTTGTTGCTATTGTCTAGAATAAACTTATGAACTCATATGTTGGAATTTTAGGAATCAACTAATCTTACGAGCCTGTTTTATGACTAATATGAATTGATTACTGATATGTCTAGAATGAACTGCTCTGTTGCTTTTCCTCTATATTTGATTGTTGTTGGAGTTTTAGAATCAACTAATTATATATTGCTTATTTTCTTATGAATTGTTTTTTGATTTTGTTTTTTATAGGTACAATCTTGGAAAATATGAAAACCATTCATTCCTTCTTCAAAAGAAATGTTGATAATGAAGAAATTCATGATAAAAATGAAGAGATTAAACGTCACAAAGCTTCAACAAGTGAACCACAACCACAAGAACATGAAAATCAACAAGAGAATGATAGTAATGAAGCCACACAATCAAATCCTAATGAGGTGGTCCAGGCGGATCTTAAGCAACTAGAAAGAGATCCCGCTAAAAGAAAACAAATGTGAGAATATCCAATTCACTTAAGGGAAGAAGTAAGATGAGCTTATATCAGTTTAGGACCTTTCCAAATACGTCTTAAAGAATATCATGCTAATGGTTCAAAGAAACATCCTCCTAGATTCCAATATTCTTGGTTCAACATTTTCCATAATTGGATAGAATATTCTCCAACAACACATGCATCCTATTGTTTTATTTGTTTTATATTTAACGATAAACCAAGTGTGTCCCATAGTTATGATGCATTTACTATTAAAGGATTTGACAATTGGAAGAAAGTTAATGACGGAAAAAATTGTGCATTCTTGAAGCACATTGGTTGTTCACAACATAGAAATGTTGTTGCATTCACTGAAAATTTAATGAACCAAGAAGCACACATTGAAAATATCATAATGAAGCAATATGAAGAGCAAATTTTGAAGAATCATTGACGATTAAAAGCTTCGATTGACACAGTTCGTTGGTTGACATTCCAAGCGTGTGCTTTACGAGGACATGATGAATCTCATAGTTCCAAAAATCGTGGTAATTTTTTTGCTACCACTAAAACTTGTAGCATCTTATAATGATTAAGTTGCAATTGTTATATTAGAGAACGCTCCTTATAATTCAAAATATACTTCTGGAGAAATTCAAAAAGAAATTCTTAGTATTATTGCAAATAAAGTTAGAAAGCATATTCGTAGTGAAGTGGGTGTTTCATATATTTGTGTCATGGTTGATGAGTCACGGGATGAGTTTAAAAAAAAAGCAAATGACGCTAGTTTTGAGATTTGTTGATGTAGAAGGGATCATACGGGAAAGGTTCTTGGATTTGGTTCATGTTAGAGATACATTATCATTAACCCTAAAAACAAATATGTGGAGACAACTTTTACACTATGCAAATTCATTACACTGCGGACTTGCGAACCTATGCAAATTCTGGAAAAGAAATCGGTGCGAACTTCCTAATAACTGAAAATAACTTGCCAAAACTGTATTTTGCCGTTCTTATACATTTCTTGAGTATAATATTCCAGTTTGTGAGATTAACGGAATTTTAGATAACTCCTAAACGAATCTGATTCTTTCTATTCTTCTTGTGTCTAAGAATATTAATTAGCGATCGATATTATGTTGTCAAAATATTTGTGAAATCCAAGCCTAGGGTACAAATAATTTATAAGGAAAGTGTTAAAAACAGATTAATTTATCACTATCCAAGTAATGTGATTTAAAATATACAACAAGCCCTCAATAAGAAATTCCGCAACAAAACATGTGCTTAAATACAGATCTTCTAGACTTTTTGCAAAATCAAATGAGCCCCAAACTGAGGTTGAAGAGTAACAACGGTATGTGGAGCATGTGAATAGGATGGCGAGAGGTCAAAGCAGAAGTGTTGCAGAATCATAGCCAGAGCCATCTTCGCTTCCATCAAAGAAAAATTTAATCCAATACATATGCGTGGACCCCCACCAAAAGGAATATATGATGTTTGTCCCTTAGTCGCCTTTGAGACACCTTCAGAAAATCTTTCAGGCTTGAACTCATTCACATCATCACCCCATATATCATGGTCATGGTGTAAAATCATAGTTTGCAATTGGATGAACGTTCCAGTAGGTAGCGTTATGTCCCTTAATTTGGTTTCCTTGTGGATCATTCGTCCTAGTCCTACTACTGGTGGGTATAGTCTAAGAACCTCGTGAAGAATCATGTTAACCTGCAATACAAAACGATTAAAACACCTTTAAAACCTAAAGAAAGATAAATCTATCAAAGAACAATAGCACTATAGGCGTATGTTTAATTAATTAACTTCATCAAGGTATCAAAAGCTAGACTCACAATCTTTAAACGATTCAATCCATCGATTTCTGGTTTTTTCTTCCCAAAGATTTGTGAAACTTCCTCTCTGGCTCGCTCTTGCCAATGTTTATGTTGACCCAACAAGATCATTGTCCAAACAAGTAAATTCCCGGTGGTCTCTTGTCCAGCAAAATAGAAAAGCTTACACTCTTCAATAACTTCATCGATAGTCAATCCAAAATTCCTATTCCCATGTTGTTTAATTTCTTTGTAATTGGAATCCAAAAGTATGCCCAACAAGTCATCTTTACTACTTTCCCCAGCTTTCATTGCCATAATCCGTTTATCAATGATACTCCTTATGGAAGCCTTCACATCTTGGTCAATCTTCTTCATCCTCTTATTGTTTTTTGTTGGCAAAAATCTACAAATTTGTTTTCGATCAATCAAAATTCGTTTCTTTATCAAAAGTAATACTAGGTTAATTAGAATATACTTTTAGGAAAGATACCTAGATCCAGGAATATAGATTGATTGTATAGCATGTATGACTAACTCTGCTAATTCACGTTGTAGTTCAAATATTCTCTTCCCTTCTTCAAAGCTACTACCAAATGCTGTACGTGAAATAACATCACTGGATAATGTTTGAAGATAAGGCCACACATCCACTTCACACGAGCTTTCCTTCTTTAATCCTTCTTCCCATTTAGTGATCATCTCCACACAGCTCACATAAATTGCAGGCACCATATGCTATCAAAATAACTATCATTCAGACCGGTGGTTTCTTTAACATTCATGGGGTAATGAGGAGACATACGAAAACGAAACAAAACCTTGAGCTTCTCGATGTGAAAAGCAGGATTGATTATTTTTCTGTGTTTGCTCCATCGATCAGTTTCAGCATCTGCTAGACCTGCCGCTAGTGTCTTTATTAAAGGGTTTCCTCCTCTCGGCTTTTGAAATTGATAGTTATTTCCCAAGACCTCCCTTACCATAGCAGGTTCAGCTATATGCACCACAGGTCTCGGCCCCATCCATGTGAAACAAATCTTCCCTACAAAATTAATTACAACAAAAATCTCGTTCGATTAGTTGCCACAATGACATATAGCACAATTGTTTAAGTTCCACAATAACAAATACACAAGGAAAAGAAAACCAAAAACGCTTACCATAAGTAGTGATGCATTTGTGGTCAAAGGGTACTACTCGGGGAACAATTTCATCATTTAGATTTATGGGTCTAGATTTGGAATCTTTTAACATGCTAACTACCTCTTTCAAGTTTCCGAACAAGAATTTGTAGGAGCTTCCCTTCAGGCCTTGTTCTCTTAGACGTTTTTCTATCTTCTTTGGTTTCAACCATACCCAATTTATGAATCTCCATGCATACCACACCAATATTGCTAAGACTACCATCCCACACCATAGTGCACTTACTTCCATTTTGGAGGATATCAGTGTGAATCTTGTCAATGTGAGGAGGAGAAAAAGGATACTTATTGATAGGTGAAGTTCACTATAACTCCCTTATATACTCTATAGTAAATTCTACGGGATACCCCTCACGTGTTTGTTATTTTCCATGAGATCCCCCCGTATGTTATTAAAAGTAAAAGAATGACATACTACTCTTTGCACTTGACTATAATGTGACCGATTGTATGACACTCAAAGAATCGTATCGATGCAATGGATCCAGAGCCTAATGATGGCCTTTGATTCAAAGGATCAATAAAAACTTATTTTTGTTTCTGAACTTTAATGTTGATTAATACTTATGGGTTATGACATTCTTAAAATAAAGTACAGTGCAAATTCTTTTGTATAGCTCAAAACCGTTGGTTTAAGCCTCATGCCAATTGTGTTATCAGCTTTGTACATGGTTGTAGCATATAAATAGCCAGTCAAGTGGGTTTTCTACTCTACTAGAGGTACGTAGCTTACTATCTTATGTTAGAAACCTATGAGATTTAAGGGGGCAAGTGAGAAAAAAATAAAGATTGGGGGCATTCAATTGGACAAATTCGAAAGTTGATGGGTCCATGCATACAAGAACCTTATATGTCCTGATAATTTATATCGACGCTAGAGGAAGGATGGATGAGAAGCACTCATTGGAGACGTGGAGAGAGATCAACCGACATAAGCCACCTGTTCTAGAAGACGTCCAAAGATGAAAGTGACAATTCAAACCCTCATACGCCACATATTAATTCTAAATTTTCTTTTTTTAAACAGCAAGAAAATTTATAAATAAAAATGAAAAGCTAGCAGAAGCTGACAACAATAAAATATGACTGGTTCACCTTGCTATGAAGAAAATCCAAACATTTTTCTCCACTGATTCTTGCGTCTTTTTCTGTGTGGTGTATATGTAAAATATCTATTATTTGAATGTGCTATTTTTGGTTAAGACAAATTATAAGGTTATATAACTGGTTTGTCAGCAACTACGTTGGCTATATCTTTTATCTTTGGCATCTAAAGACGCTCTATTTAAATAATCTTACCGTATTATATTCAATTCATCTAATTTGATGTGTCTTTATATTTTATTAAAAAAAGCAAGATTTATCATAAATAAACAAATAAATAAATAAAACCAATTACAAGTTTGCAACCGGTGAGCATTAACATTTCACAGATGGAAAAAAACAGTTTAAGTAAACCAAACGAGGCAAGTACTACTTTTCACTCAAGGTGTCTTTTCGAGTGCTATGACAACATCAAGATCATGTTATGGAGTTGCTAAGTTTTTTAGAATAACACAATTTATAAATAACAATAACTAGCATGAACTCGGGGAGAAATAAGGGGGTGTTTGGATTAGCTTATTAGCTTATTGCTTATTAGCTTAATTGTGGTGGGAATAAGCAATAAGTAATAAGCATGAGGAGAAATGCTTATTAAAATTAGATTATTTAGCTTAATAAGTTGAGTAAGAGGGTGTTTGGAATAGCTTATTGCTTATTAGTTTAATTGTGGTGGGAATAAGCAATAAGCAATACGCATGAGGAGAGATGCTTATTAAAATTAGATTCTTTACTCTTGTACTTAGGGGGTGTTTGGATAGGAAAAAAAGATGGTTCTTATTGCTTATTGCTTATTCCCACCACAATAAGCTAACTTTGAGTTTTTGGATAAAATCCTTAATCTAATTTTTAAAGATTTTATCCAAAAACTCAAAGTTAGCTTATTGTGGTGAGAATAAGCAATAAGCAATAAGCACTCTCTTTTTTTCCTATTCAAACACCCCCTAAGTACAAGAGTAAAGAAGTTACATCACCAAAACGTGAAGCATAAACTATACAATGTCGCCGGAGTAAGGAATCCAAGAACTACATTTTCCCAAAATAAGCAATGAAGTTTTAATCGTGTAAGTAGGCCAGAGCACTAACTTGTATATGTCTTCAAGATGTAAATTAAATACCAATTTGATATTAAAGGATGCAGTAGAAGCAAGTAAAAAACTCAAATATGTGATACTCAAGTGGTCACCAAAAACATAAATAAAAACTTTTAATCCTTTGCACATGGAATCAGCAGCAACAGAGCCCATTAATAATTTCGGATACAAGGCAAAAGGTGGGACTAGATGAGATGTCAATTGACACCAAAGTATTTCTGTCCAGTTTTGTAACAAACTTTTAGTACACACTCCAGAATAGCAATGTATTTCTATCCAGTTTTGTTGCCATTTTCTCAAGGGAAACTAGCGGTTATGTAGGCTCTACATGTGGCAAAACATAAGAGGTTATATAAGAGGTTACAAAGGCAAATTTGTCCGATACATTTTTAAAGGCAAGTTTGTCCATGAAAAATTAATTAAATTTTGTCAATATGATATTTTCAGGTAATAAAAAAATTGGGATGAACAATTTTAGAGAATGTTAATAAATACCAAAATCCATTTCGTCGTCCAGTAGCGATAACCGTATTTTTGATTGGTACCGCAATGACCATTTGGTTGGGTATTGGTGCAACATTACCTATTTATAAATCTCTAATTTTAGATCTTTTTAAAATTGATTCAACTGTGATACAAGTATCACGATGTATGTATCACAACAAATAAAATGAAATTTAGTAGCATACACTTTTAATAGCATAATTTTTTTATGCTAATGGATTTAATAACATTTATTATTTTATGTCACTAATATTCACATATATTAGTGGCATAATGATTAGAATGCAACTAAACGAATATAGATTTTGTGAATGATACTATAACCATTAAATGTTCTTTTATGAATTAATCAACTTTTTTTAGCCGCTAAAGATATTAAGGTATTAATTTTTGACAAAATTGTAAAAATGGTCCTTGTGATATGTATTTTTTCTGAGTTGTAGTCCAAATCTTAATTTTTTTGGTTTCGTGGTCCTTTTGAGCTTGTTTTGTTGCAGATTTGGTCTCTTAGTAAACTGAAATGACTAATATGCCCTCCCGATTTTAGTTTTTATGCTTTTTTCTATTTAAATTAATGTTTTATTAAATTAAAATATGATCTCTCTCTCACACACACACACACATACACAGACATCAAGGACATAAAAGTAACCCAACAACCTATATCATCATCTTCTTCAAAATTAGGTCTGATTACCACACCAACATATTCTTCCTAAATATAACCCAGCAGACCTTCCATCGTCTAATCTCTTGGCTTGATAAAGACTACAAGGAGCCATTGTTCGAGCCATGTGAGTTGTCGTCATGGTCGTTTTACAGATCTGGTATCCCAGAGTTCATCACAACCTTCTTGTTCCTCTACATTTTGGTATTGATTATAATGGGTGTGATCAAATCTCAAATAGGGGCATATCAATCCAGTTGTGCCATTCAAATTCTTATTTACAACAAAATTATCATTAACCAAGGCAATGTTCAACATGGTAATGTAATTTCTTGGAGCAATCAGTGTTGTCAATTTGTGAACGGGTTTCATGAGCATTTGATCGAGCACCTAGTAGGCAGTATCTGAAAACAAATTTTAGCATCTTCTAACACCAAAAATCACCTCTGTGAGCAGAATAGGGGTAGTGATTAGTTGTATATGTCTTTGATTTGTTTTTCTGTTAACAGAGAGAGGGGGTCATCACTTTTATATAGATCGTGATGAAGTTTAGTAGTAATATAACAGCACCGAGCTTATCTATGGTTGTTTGTCCGAAGAAGACGATTATCTTAAATCGATGGTGAATGGATAATTTTGGGAATGTGTAACATTTTAAATTTTCAAATAAAATTTTCATTTTTAAAATCACATAAACTCAATATCACATTTCTCAAAAATCACAAAATGTATAAGTTGTCAAAACACAAGTCAACAATGTTTGATAAAATCCCAGAATCCTCAAAATCATGATCTCTAACTGGTGTGTACAATCAAGCCAACACCTTTCCGCAATCCTAAAAAGTACGTGAAACACATATCACACAACACGGTAAGCACAAAGCTTAGTGAGTTCCCAAAAATACCACATGTAAAGAATTAGCCTCTCATGGCTATGTCTCGATAAGGACCCTCCGGTCTCACAGCTCGGTTCGGACCCTCCAGTCCGGTATCTCAGTGAAGACCCTCCGGTCTCACAAGAATAGAATAAATCAATAAGGCACAGGAGTAATATACATCATAAATCACAAAGACAAAATGCATGATATCACATAACTCAATATAAGCACATAAGACCCGCCGGTCACACAGTGATACCATTCAGGTAAGTATAGTGAGAAGACTCGCCTCGGATGATGAACAACTCCTATAAATACTACTGTTGCACACCGGCCTCTAATACTAAGCCAAACCCACAATTAACCCAATTAGGATCTAAGACCAAACCCTCACTCATTAGGCCTAAAGATAGTCCACTAACTGGCCCACAAATAACCCAAGCCTATTGGGCCCAGCAAGGCCAAATACTAAATGGGCCCTCCCAAGGCCCAACCCTTAACCTTAAGTCCAAATAGAAAGCCCAACACAAGGGCCCAAGACATATATATTCCTTTAATCCAAAATCTACAATACATCAAGCCCAAAATCCAGGCCTAACACTTAAGGGCCAATACGAGATTTAGCCCAAAAAGCCCACAGCGAGATTACGCGGGGCATACCTCCCTTGGTACGCTCAGCGTACACACAAATCCTAATCAGAGAAACCAGACCAGTACGCGGGGCGTACTAGGACTTACGTGGAGCATAATGCTCAAGTCCAGAAGCTCCAATTTCGACTTAACCACTTCAGTAGAAAGCATCCAAACCTCAGGGAAGCTTTGTTACAAGTTCCTAACTGAGAAAGTTGGCGACTTTCTGAGTTTGCATGTCTTAATCTGACCCAACTTCCAAAATAACCATCAAGACTCTCTGAAATCCTCTTAACACATGCATAAAGAAATCTAGACTACCAAGTTCTCATTTTTATGAATCAAGGTAACCTAATACACTTAAAAGGACAGGATATTTACTATGAAGTTCAACAAACTCACAAAGC